ACCCCAGGTAAATCTATTTCCAAATGTGATGAATAGTTAAAGTAATTAAATTTTAAAATGATTATGATTAGATGATGATCAGTCTCTGAGGGAAATAGGCTCCCTAATGAGGCCACCCGGTCCTCCTCTTCTCATACCTCTTCCATTATACTCTCCAGTTCTCATAGGTCCTCCAGGAATCATGCCAGGTCCATTCATTCTTCTGAATGAATCAGCTGGATGTCTGTGATCATGTCTCGGAGGAAAGTTCATCTTTCTCATTCCATGGCCAAAGTCTCTACCTTGAAATTTCTCATGATTCCCTCTAAACTCATTAAGATCAGGAGGTTATTAATTGTTGATCTGGTTTGGTCTTCTCAAGTGCTGTGAAGCTAGCATCGATCCTGAAAATTCATTAGGCTGGTGATCAAATCTAGCATTAGGAATAATTCTATTAGGGCCTCTACCATTGCCATTTCTTCTGAAATCATTGTTGAAGTCATCATGGAATCTAGGCTGTCCTCTCATCTATCCCCCAGGTGGTGCATTGAATGGTCTTGGGTTTGAGGAGTTCTCTGGACTTCTGGCTTTTCTAGGAAAATTCTGATTGAGTCTTAGTCTATTCCTTTGTGATCCTCTAAACTCATTCTCATTGCCTCTTCTCTCATCTAAATATCAATTAAATTTAACAAATTATTACTGAAGAGATCCTCTCTGGGCATTGGTTTCTGATAACCTAAATGCTTAGGATCCAAAGACAACTTAGAAAGCTTGATCAATATTCCTGACATGTCTTCTCTAGGTTGAGATCTCTGCTAGAATTTGACCAGAAGCATGTTCTCTTGATGTAGCATTCCTAGCCTCATCTTAAGAATCTCAGCCATCTTGACAGCTCTAGAGATGTTTTCTCCAAAAGCCTGCAGCGTGATGGTCTGTCTTTCCCTGAGTTGATAAATAGCATAGGAGAGTTGCTTTCTCATACTAGAATCTTCATAGATCTTGATAAGGTTTCTGTCATCTCTCTTGACTGGCTCCTCGTCCTTATCCCCCTTGCTGTGAGTCTTGGTACTGTCTGACCCTTCTTCCTTTTGAGGTGCTTCAATGTTGCTCTCCTTGTTTTCAGTTTCTGAGTCTGCAGCTTCATTAGAGTCCTGGTTCAAATTCTCATTGTTGATTGTTGGTTCCTCAAGTTCTTCCTCAAAGGTCTTAAGTTCAGATTCCTTCTAAGTATCAGATAGTTGTTGCTTCACTGAGTCGTCAGAATAGTTGTTGGATTGGTAGTTGGTGGACTCAACCTCGAAATTCATTAGTGAGTTAGATACAGCTAATTTAATATTATTAAAATTAAAGATATCTCAACTTATATCTTTCAACAGTCCAATCATATTATACTCTCCTTGGGGTTTTGGGGTTTTGGGGTTTTGGGG